TATGGGCACGGATTTTTCATTTTTGCCCTATGCTGCATCTCCACTGAGAACTAAAACTATTCTTTCGACTAGTTTCACAAAATCTCTCCACTAAATACACTGAGACTTGTAGCAGATGTGATATTCTTTGGGATGACGTGTTTTGCCATATTTCGAAAAAGCTCCTGCGTAAAGGTAGGTAATCATCGTCGAATACTTGAATACATAAAGATGGAAAGATCGGCGAGGGAAAGGCCTAGCTATTCCGCTGATGGGGATGTCTCATCGACCAATCCTTTCTTTAGCACCAGTTTGTTCTCGTCGTACATTGATCAGAACTACAGCGTCTAAAGCCGGATCACATTTTTCCGTTTCTAATGGCGTAATAGAAACGATTAATGGCTTAATGATGGAAGCTATGAGTAGAATGGAGAAAGCCCAGAGGATTCAGGCAGAAACCATGAAAAGTGCGCAACAAATTCAGGCTGACGCATTGATTCCAGTCAGCAGAAAAATGTAACTCAGACGTTAAGCCCAGTTTCTACCGATATGGCTTCGATAGCGGATGTAGTTTCTGTTGATCAACGCGTTTCAAATGCTTCTCTGCGTGCTAAGCCTTCACATTCTTCTACTTCGGATATTTCATGCCAAGCCAAATCAGTATCGCTGCATGGCGGAACTACTGAGAAAAATCTTGAAATTTTAAGAGAATGTCCATCCTGTCATGCGTCAAAAATGATACATCTACTGTTTCTGTCGATAAGAGTGATCCTGGCACGCAAACTGAGATTTTACCTCTTAATGCCTTTGCTAATACTTTACCACTTAATACATCTGCTAAAATTTCTGTCAAAGAATCCAAAATTATTGCAGAACGAAAGACGAGAAAGAAAATTCCTGTTAAGGCGCAGAAACAGTACAGAAGATCACCATCTACTGATCAATCTATTTCTCCTCTTAGAACAGAAGTTGATCTTAAGTCTAAAAGAAAAATAAAACAAAATCTAAGAAAAATCATCATCAGAAATCTTCTGCACCATTCTTATCATCTTTAAATAGTTCCTTAACAGGAAGTAACGCTATGCATTCAGATAAACGTGAATGTTTAGAAGTTCATAAGAAAAGTAAAACTTTGAAAAATAGGAAACATCATCGAAAGCAAAACGCTTCTTCTTTTCCAAGTAGCTGTGATGATGATGATTCGTATTAGGTTGGGAAAGAGATAACTTCAGGATCTCGAAGAAAAAAAAAATCAAAAAGAAAATTTTGTAATTCTTCTTCTTCACGATCGACTGTTCTCACTACACCGACAACTTTACAAGTTACCATTAATGATTCAATTACTCGTTTCAGTGGTAAAGCGAATGAGCAGGCTAGTAAGTTCTTACATGAGTACCAACAGAAAATGCGAACGTTATTTCGGGCGGGTGATTCGCAATTACTGCGAAATATTAGTAATTGGCTTGCAGGTGTGGCAGGTGACTGGTATTTACAGCTTTCTCTAGGACTAGTGGCGGATCCAGGGGGGAGCTGGAGGTAGCTGAACTCCCTCTAGAAATTTTCACGGTATATTCGAGCGAGTGAAATTTTGAAAAAACTCTTGTACTGCTACAGATACTCTGGACAGTGGATGCGGAGCTGAGCTCCCTCTAGGCCGAAATACTGGCTCCGCCACTATCCAGGACACTGCTTATATTACAAATTATTATAAAGAGATTTTGTAATTGTCTTTTACAATGAAGAGCAGTCGTCCAGCTGAATTAGATAAATTTAGCAAACGAAAATTAATAATACAATTGAAAAATCTCAATATTATCGTAGCATCATCATTTTTAAAACAGCAACTGATAGAATTAATATTATTGAATGAAAGTGATGAAAATGATACAAGTTACTCAGCTCAAGAAACATCTAAATTATCAGAAACAACTGTAGCTGCTTTAAGATCTTCACAGCATACAAAAATTAGAGAACAATGATGACTCATTTTGTTTACAGAATGACAAAGAAAGAATTTGTGATAGCAATTCAAACGAGAAGAGTCAGTTATTAGATAATTTTAATCTGATTGATCGAATTCTCAATCAAAATGATAAAATCATTTCTCGGAATGCGGCTATTCTATCAATACTCACAACTTCTACACAAGAGAAAAAAAACAAAAGCACTAGATCCATCTGCACCTATGTTTGATTTTCCGGTGCAAAATTCAACTCTTTGTGTCAGTAATAAGGCAACACTGTTACATGATTCGCGGTCCTCAGACATCATGTAAGACTGCAGCTGTTATTGCGTAATCAGTTGTTATTGCATAATCATTTCTTATTGTGTAATTATTTATTGCATAATAGTTACGCCATATCTACACTATATAAGCTCTCGATTCCGTGGGAGTTAACAATTCATTTTTCGAAATAAACTACTACGA